ATTATAAGCTTTATTTTAACATATGAACTATTATCATATGATCTACCATTCTTGAATTATGCCTTGTCTATCGATTACTACCTCCCACATTCACAGCCACATTTGGTTAAATCTTGTACAAATATTGTTTCCTATTCTATGGTACGATGTGGTTTGTCTGGTTGATATATAAACCCAATATGTTTGAAATACATGGTTCATATCACAGAGGCTGAGATTGGTGTTCTGGACTTAACTGGCTGGGCTAGGCGGAAAGCAGGACCAATAAATAATCTAGACTGCTCATACACGTTTTCTGCGTCATTGGTCCAGTCGATAATTTACTGTTCTCTAATTGGCGATATCATCACGTTATATATTAATAGAACATAGGGTACAAGTTATAACAGAATCCTGTGTGTGTGGGATCATGAATACGCACTTCTAGAGAGTACCATACTAAGATGAAATGACCGTCTAATGTTTCCAGATTTTCAATGATTACCTAACATTGATCGATTTATAATCTTAATCAAAAGACCATGCTGTACTTTTACAACTGAATCATTTAATTCCCAGTCATGTCTATTTTTTTATTTTCTGGAAAATGTATATAACAGGAAATCTCTATTCCATCCAATAAACTATTCAAGATGATCCGTTCTTTTATCTTTACGTTGATTTTGTCTCTATGGGATTTAAATGTTTTTCTAAGTTATTTTTTTTTCTTTTTTCGTCTCATTTCTTAGTCTGTAATTACCATCGCAACATTTTAATTTTGTGTTTTTGTAAATTGATATCTTCACATTTTCACTTCCTGCTTATATTACAAATCAGTTTGTGTTAGCTTTGTTAATAATATTACATTAGTTTTCTGTATTCAGAAATTACTTACTGTTAAAATAGTCAATATTATAGGGATTACTTATGATGGATTAAACTACAAAATCCTACATGAAGGACAGTTCACGGAGTTGTTCGAATTAAACACCAGTGTCAGGCAAAGTTGTTTACTCTCAAGAGCAACATATTTACAATTGAAGAAGATCTGGAACTTAAAAAAAACTGTCTGTCAACCAACATCAAAGTCAGACTTTTCAATATAAATGTCATGACAGTTATACTGTATGAGGAGAACTACAAAAGTCATCGTCCAGAAGATACAAGTGTTCTTCAATAGTTGTCTACGCAATATACTTCGGATAAGTTGGTCAGACACGGTCAGCAACAATTTATTGTGGAAGAGAACAAACCAGATTTCAGCGGAGGAACAAGTCAAGAAGAAGCGCTGGAAGTGGATATGGCACATATAGATGAAAGCATCCAACTACATCACAAGGCAAGCCCTCATCACTTGGAATCCTCAAAGCCAAAAGAGTAGTGGGAGATGGAAGAACATATTACGCCGAGAAATAGAGACAGACATGAGAAGAATGAACAACAATTGGATAGACCTAGAAAGGAAGGCTCAGGACACAGTGGGTTGGAGAATGCTGGTGGGCGGCCTATGCTCCATTGGGACTAACAAGCGTAAGTAAGTAAGTAATTTACTGTTCAACATGAATTAATGTCAACTGAAGTATTGGTCATTTGTTATTGTTTTAATTCTGAAATATCATACACTAGAAACTTACAACTTTAGTATGAAATCAAACTTCTGATGTTCGAATTTCTTAGTGATGAACATAATACGTTTTAGACTACTAAGATAATTTATGACATTTCTTGATTGGTATTCAATACCCGCTGTCACATCAGTCATTTTTGTTAAGAAGACAACAAATTATGTTTAATCCTTTTACTTTAGTTAATAAATAGTGGTGCGATAGTGAACGAGAATACAAGTGGGGACAATTTCATAAAAAGTTATGAAAACCATATAGTAAATAATTCATTTGCAAAATGTCAATCAATTGTCTCAAATTTCATTATTACTTCGTTTCCACACCAATTTTTCTCTGTTCTCGTTCTTTTCTCTTCGATTTTCTTAACTTTCTGACTACAGACATTCCACTTTCGATTGATGATACATACTAATTGTATCTGTCAATATCAGTAGTACACCACACTCGTCCTCCCTTTAAAGCAGTCGTTCTTGCCGCCTTGCCATTTTCTGCGGTCTGTGCCACCCTCTTCATCAAAATATCGAGTCTGCGGCGTGTTGACTTTCATAGATCCATCGACCTGCCGGGCCATCAAAATCCGACGTATACTCATCACCCGATACGTTCAACACCTGCGTTCCAGAAACCTGCTGAGCCATCTACATCTAATGTCCGCCCAGCAGCTGCACGCCGCTCGATCAGGACACTCCACTGGACATCACCTCCCCGCACCAGACCGTTCCTCCAGCACCTTAGCTCCAGGTGCACAACGGCGTCCGCAGAACAACACCCCTCCCTCCTTTTGGTTGGAAGAGACATCGAATATAGTGAACGAGAACACAAGTGGGGACAACCGAATGTATATGAACATGCAACAGCATCGCTTGGTAAAATCATAGAGCCAAAATGTCAATCAATCGTCTCACACTTGATTGTTCCTTCGTTTCCACATCAATCGTTCTCTGTTCTCGTTCTTCTTTCTTCGATCTTTTTAACCTTCTGCCGCCAGTCATTGCACTTTCGAGTGATGAGACATACTATTTATAACCAAAACGTGGCATCAGTGCTTGAAGTCACTAACTTCTAGTCTGAGCAATATTGGTAAATGCCGACTACTTGGTTGGGGTCCGCACAACTATCGTAATCAGTGGTTGGAGACTGGGTGACATGGTTCAGAATCGATCACAATGGGGTAGGTGTATACACTCTCTTTCTTCCTCTAAACTAAGAGATTAAGATCGCTTCACATCTTTCTAATAACTAATTCTTTCTTCCTGTACTATCTCCTTATATGCAATCTTTCTTTTATATATTACCAGCACTGAATTAACCACTTCTATGAATCCGGTGTTCATCTTGTTGTGCTAACGCGGTAAGACAACTTGTATCGATGCATATATATGCCTGATCCTACGTTGTGGCTGACTGACTAACACATCACATATCTGTCGACATCAGTAGCACATACTGCAGTACTGTTGTATTAGGAAGTTTACGGTAACATCTTTCGATTCATATTTGTTAAGTTGTCCTTCTTGATATCTTATTAATTGCTCTCTTTGTTAATTTATTTTTTACTGTATCTAAAGATAATATACCTTGTTCAGTTGATTTCGAATACTGTTAAAATTATAAAGGTAGTTATCATTCTCAGATTAAGTTTGAACTAGTACGGTTGTGACTTATTTGAATGTTAAGCTTTTTTCGGAGTTCCTAACTTCTTATTCACAGATAGATTATTACGGCTATTTTTTATTGTTTTACTGATCCCATCTATTTAGTTCTCATTTCATATTATAACTCAAAATGTTAGTATGCTATTATAAATCCTAACGACTTTCATTAAAAGTTTGAAGATTATTCTCGAATATATATATATATATATATATATATATATATATATATATATATATATATATATATATATATATATATATATATATATATATATATATATATATTTATATGGATTATGAAGTCCTCCACATATGAGGGGAAGCACGGAATACAATTGACAGCTCAGAATCAATTAGACGATTTGGAATTTGCAAATGACCTAGCCCTCCTTCCCCATGCACACGAACAAATGCAGATGAAGACAGCTAGTGTAGCAGCAGTCTCTGCATCAGTAGGCCTCAACATACACAGGCAAAAAATCGAGATCTCCAAATATAACACAGAGCACCAGCTCAATCACACTTGATGGCGAAACTCTGGAAGATGCGGAATCTTCCACGTACCCGTGAAGCATCATTGATGAATAAGGAGAATCTGATGCAGGGATGGCAAAGCAAGGGTCGTATTCTTACAATTGAAGAACATATCGAACTCAAAACAACTATTAACAAATATCAAAGTCACAATCTTCAATATAAACGTCAAGACAGTTCTACTATACGGAGCTAAAACTTGAAGAACTACTACAACCATCATCAAAAGATACTTAATATCCGTCGACCGGACATGATCAGCAACAGCTTAGTGTAAAAGAGAACGAGCAAGCTTCTAGCTGAAGAGGAAATTAGGAAAAGGTGATTGAAGTGGATAAGATACATATCGAAGTAATTATCAAACTACATCACGAAGCAAGCTCTTACTTAGAATCATAAAGGGAACCGGAAAAGAAGAAAGCCAAAAAACACATTACGTTAGGAGATAGAAGCAAATATAAAAAGAATGAATATTACAACTGAAAAGAACTGGAAAGGATTACCCAGGACAAGGTTGAATGAAGAGTTCTGGTTGGCGGCCTATTGTCCTCCACGAAGAGTAACCAGCGTAAGTAAGTAAGATTGTGAGTAAGTGAGTAAGTAAGTAAGTAACTGAGTAAGTAAATAATTAAGTGAGTAAGTAAGTAAGTAGGTAGGCAAGTAAGTAAGTAAGTAAGTAAGTAAGTAAGCAAGTAAGTAAGTAAGTAAATAATTAAGTGAGTAAGTAAGTAGGTAAGTAGGCAAGTGAGTAAGTAGGTAAGCGAGTAAGTAAGCAAGTAAGTGAGTAAGTAAGTAAGTAATTGAGTGAGTGAGTGAGTAAGTAAGTAAGTATATATATATATATATATATATATATCACTCAATAATACTAAAAAAATCTCAATAAAACATTCCATATTAGAACATTAAGATTTTACTTTAAAAATTTATTTTATTTACTTAATTAATATTTTGCATTTTAGCAATAAATACAATCATAATACACATACACATACACACGTACATGCACACACGCACACTACACATACACTCATACCCGCACACACTTTTATATTACCCGAATATTACTAATCACTATGGCCAATAAGATATATATCTATATCTGGTATGTATGTATGTATGTATGTATGTGTGTGTGTGTGTCTGTATTTCTATATTGAATAATCATTCATGAATAGATTATTATTATTTTATTTATTTATTTATTTATTTATTTATTTATTTATTTATTAATATTCATTTCTAATCTCATTCTCATTAGTAGTATCTTTGAGAAAATTTTCTATTAAATATTTTTGTATAAATTTTTCACGAAGATAATTATGGATTAAATCAGTATTCTCTTTATTGTGATTAGAATTACGTTTACCAAATCTAAATTTTAGTTAAAAGAAAAAAAAACAAAAAGAAAAAGAAAAAGGGAGAAAATTCTATATAAATGTATATATTATAGATTAATGGATTAGATAATAAAAAAAAAGTAAAATTATATTGGTGCCATGTTGAAAAAAAAAGTTTGTTATTTTTTTTGGGGGAAGGGGGAGGGAGGGGGTACTATTTTCTATGTTGTTGCCGTATGTTTTATTGTTTTAATAGATATACTATTATATCAGATTGAGTTTTGTGGATATAATATAGTAATTTTAATCGTTGAGATTATGATTCAATAGAAGTTTGATATGGACTGTAGGATCATGAAGGAATAAGCGGTGTATGAATCAATTATTGGTCACACTGGCTACTATGGGACTGCATCTCCTGACATTGTTCCATTGCCTTGTGGATCAGACCTTCAGGTAAAAGGCTCAAGGTATGCCCCCTCCTAAAGAAACCATCTGCTTCGGATTAGGTAACCGACCAATATCATGGTTCATACACAAATGAAGTGAATTGTAGAAGCAATATTTCTAAGTCATGCCTTAAAAATATTGCTGGGATCATCGGGTAAATAATAGTGAGGTTATACGTAGGGTATTAGGGAATGATGGTAAATCAGTTGATGAGGTTGTCAATCTTCATCGACTGAGATGGTTGGGCCACGTGTTACGTATGTCTGAACACCGATTACCACGACACGCAATGCTAAATGTTTTTAGGGCTGTTTGGAAGAAAGTTAGGGGTAGCCAAACTAAAACTTGGCATCTGCACTTGAAGTCACTAACTTCTAGTCTGAGCCATATTGGTACGTGCAGACTACTTGGTTGGGGTCAATCGGTGACTATCGTAACCAATGGTTGGAGACTCTTGATGACATGGCTCAGAATCGATCACAATGACGTACGTAGGTGTATACACTCTCTGTCTTCCTTTAAACCAAGAGATTAAAATCACTTCATATCTTTCTTTCTACGAACTAATTCTTTCTTCCTGTACTATATATTTGTATGCAATCTTTCTTTTATATATTACCACCACTGGATTAACTACTATGACTTCGGTGTTCATTTTGTTGTGCTAATACGGTATGACAACTTGGACCGATACATATATATGCCTGGTCCTATGTTGTAGCTGACTGACTGACTGACTGAAGTGAATTGTGTGATACATATATATATTCAGTGCTTCTTTGTACTAATATATATGTGTTTAAATAAATAACAGAATATTGAAACTTTCTTTCTAGCATAGTGATATGATGAGAGGAAAAATCAATATTCGATTGATTTACTTAATATGAGTTTTATTCATCATTACATTCTTTTGATTCAATGTAATGATTACACAATGTAGTATTTGTTTCCTTTTCTCGTATGATATTTATTCTGTATAATATACAATCTTCTTGTATTCCATTGACTATGAACTATACTCAGCATTTGTTATAACTGTAAGTAGTTTTCATGTATGTGATTTTCTTCTAATTATTAATCAAAACGGGTGTACAATCAATATATAAACGAGTATATTTTCTACTAAAGGGACTTCGCTCGTTTCTGGTTGTAGCAGAATCTAGTTTTTATTTCAAGCTTGGACTTCTCCCTCTAGATAGCGGGGCTGGGGCGCAGCAATAGCTAGCTTACTGGACCTTGATCACCGAATCCTCAATCTCGTTCTCAAACTACGTGAACCTGTGATAGCTCTCTTTTTCAAACCCTAACACATAGTTTTAATCTTCTTCGTATTAATGATTTATTATTATTATTATTATTATCTTCATGTTTTATTATCTCCTTTCCTCTTTCTTAACTTGTTCAAGTTCATTAAATAGTTAATTTATCACTTATTTCTATTTCTATTTTAATATTTTCTGTCAATCATTAGATCACAATTAACGTCAAACTGATTTTGAGACTATCCATATAATAATCAGAACTAAATGACAATCATAAATCTCTATGAGGAATTATAATTACGATTTACATCATCACGAACTAATATCAGCTTTATTGAACAATATAGATAAGTGAATGTCACACCAAAATCTAAGACCTGTTATCTTATACGTAATTAATTCATCCATAAATTATAAGTCATGCCAAGGAATCAATTATTCTATGATCTGTATATTCTAAGTGAAATAAAATAATAAAATTTAGTAACACTAACATTTAAAAAATAATCTTTATTAACTTAGCTTTGTTAATCAATCCCCTTGATAATCATTATTATATAAATACCTCAATGGTGTTTGTATTTACAAGACAATAAGTACCGATCACTACAGTTTATGAACGGATAACACATATCACAATGCTAAAAGTAGATCGAGTGATTTTGAAACAGAGAGCTGAATATATGCTTACGAGCGAATGAACAAACGAATACAGAGGCGAATTTATAGTCAAATCAAATTAAGTCGCAGCAAACTAAAGCAAAAGCTAATAATAGGATATGAGCACATGATATACATGAAAAAGAGAATGATTCATTAAGCAATATTTAAGATATTAACATTTAACCTAGAGAGAGAGACAGAGAGATACATGCGTAGGGGCTGTCACATGTGATCAAGTATACACGTTTATACAGAGAAGATAGTAATAACAAGATTACAAAGAAATATGCAAATTGTTACTGTCTGAATAAAAATATCTATTGAATGAGTTCATGAAAGGGTATGATAAGTAACCAACCATAATCGAAATAAATCGTACGCGTGGTGTTGTAACTCCAATGACAAATTAATATCTGTATGTTTAGAGTATAAATAATAGACAGTGTTAATTAAGTTAAACTAGAATTCCCTACAAAGTTAGTACAAAAGTGTATGTGCGGGATTATAGACACGGGTGCGATAGATGGGTAGAGGGTGAGATCACAAAGAAACATCGGGACGTCATGTATGACGTCAAAGTGAACCAAGAAATCTGGACCAGACACCAAAATCAGCTAAGGCTAAGAGAAGCTAAGGAGAAAGAAGCAATTACGAAGCGCATCCCACTGGACTTGTTGTTGCATACTTTTCAACTTCCGCCAATACCTCCAACAGCGACAACTAAGTCATCTACTCAAGTAGAACATCCTTCTAGTTCTGGGTAGTTACCTCGAAGGTCGGGTCGCAAACGAAGACAACCAAAGAAATTTCAAGTAAAGCCTCAGTTACGTCGCTATTAACTCTTCCAAAGGGAGGTGTTGGGGTATTCAGAAAATACCACAGAAATTATCTAATACCATTCCTGAATGAGAAAAGGTGTCATTTCCCCCAGAACTCATAGTTTGTAATTTTATCTTGTGGAGCTTGTATGCAGATGTATACATGGGCATTTCTTACCACCCACGCACATAGTGGATTGACGAATTTATCGATTAAATGTTTAAAAAATTCAATAGCAGTCAATTGACGAACTATCGATTAGATGTTTAAAAGCTCCATGGCAATATCGATGTATAGATATTTACATATATACGTTTAAAATTGTCTTTGTAAAAAAGTTGCTGGTTTTCTGGTTGTTGCAGAATATACTTCTCCATTCTAAGCTTGGTCTTCTCTAGATAGTGGGGTTGGGACGCGTCATTAGCTAGCTCACTGGACCTCGATCATCGAATCTTGTTCTCGTTCGCAAATCTAAGTGAACTCGTTAAGCTTTTCAACCCTAACAGTATGCTACTGATGTCGATAAATATAAGTAGTATGTATCATCAATGGAAAGTGGAATACCTATAGGAAGAAGGTTAAGAAAATCAAAAAGAAGAGAATCAGAATAGAGAATGATTGGTATAGAGACGAAAGATCAATGAAATCTGAAACAATCGATTGATATTTTGCAAATGAATTATTTACTCTATGGTTCTCAGATTTTTGTATGAGATGCTGTAATTTTTTGGTTGCTCCCATTGATGTTCTCGTTCAATATACTACGAGTAATTCATAAAATTCCTAAAATACCATACTCTGATAAGCAATCAATGGAAAGTAGAGATGTCTACACTCGTGTAATATTGTCAATAAAAAAATTAATTTCACTATTTGACATCATAAGTCAAAACCATCATGGAAAACCTGGAAGCACTGGACAGTCATTTCGTTCTATTGTAGGACTCCTCAGTGATCTAGTGGTTAAGCGCTCGCGCGTAAAACGGATAGGTCCTTGGTTCGAATCCCGCGAGGCAGGGTCGTGGATTCGTACTGCTGAGAAGCCCCACAATAGTACGAAATGGCTATTCAGGTTTTCCATGGTGATAGTCTAGCTTCAATTAACTCATGATCTCAACAATTGAAATTACTAAAATCTCCACAAACCCCCTCTGATACTATTTTTTTGTTTATTATTCTAATAATTCATTATGTAGATAACAATAAAAGTTGTTTATTACTATAATAATGATATATATACAATGAAGGAACAAAAAAGAACACACTCTTATATCAAACAATGAACATACTTATTATTTAATTGGATAGAAGTGAATTAAAACAAGAAAGAAAAGTATAAATCATGTATGAATATACATGACTATCTTGATAGACCTCGAAGCACTAGATAGCCGTTTTGTACTAGTGTAGAATTGCTCAACAGTTCGCACCCACGATCAAGCACGCAGAATTTAAACCCATGACCTTCGGTCGCGCGCACAAACCCTTTACCTCTAGACCAGTGAGCCAGCATTAGACAATGTTAATGTCTAATTTCAACTAATCCACGAAATTGAGCGATACATCCACCATTGTCTTCAGTGAGTCACTATCTCACAACAGACCTGGTTGAACTCCACTGGTCATTACTTCTCCGTAGAACTCCAGGATATACCTCATGAAGCCAGTCACTAGTGAGCATATGTTGATGAATATTAGAAGGGGGTTTTGTGGATATTATAGTAATTTCGATGGTTGAGATCATGAGTCAATTGAAGCTAGACCACCATAGCCGTCCAGTGCTTCCAGGCTTTCCATGGTGGTCTAGCTTCAACTGACTCATGATCTTAACCATTGA